AGGTAGGCAGGGCAGAGTCAGCAACAAGAGGATCAGGGAAAGGCTGAGCATCTGCTGCCACAGTGGCCTGTGCTGGGATCCCTATGAGGCATGCCTCGCATTGTGGGGCTGTTTGGTGGTGGCTGGGCCTTCTGGTCAGGACCCTACCTGTCAAGTGTCCAACGGAAGTGACACCTGGCCAGCCCTGTCTGCTCACCCCATCCAGCTACCCTCCAAAGGGACAGTGGTGATGTGGGAGGAAAAGCCCTGGCATTCCTGGTGAACTGAACAGAATAAGCCTGAGATGTCATCCCGAGGGACACAGTCGTGGCAAATCCTTAACCTTTACATACTTTTAAAATGTCTTTAAAATTAAAGAATACCTTCCTGTCTTATCCTGTTACCCTGAGATAATCACTGCTAATTATCTCAGTCCTTCCAGACATTTCTCTCTGCATCGAATATGAATTTTAATTATAAATCAGACTGGAACCTCTCTGAGACCAAGAACTAACATCTTATTCTAGCACCCAGGACAATACTCGATGCAGAAAAGGCATTTGATAAATATTTGATAAAATAATTTTGAATGAAAACTGTCTCAAAATTCCAGTAGGCAAAGAAAAATAAGCTGTTTTCATTATTTCATTATTATGAATGACTTTCAGACAGCTCTGTGAATTTCAGGCCGGTAGGGGATACGCTAGAATCGGAGACGGCTGGTGGGTGGGGGATTTAGAATCACTTGGATCACACTGCTAAGAAGCTCTAGGGCCTGCCAGGTCTTTCAGTGATTAAAAAATCCCAACAAGCTATATCTCTTTTCTTTCTTCCTCTCTCCTTCCTTTCTTCCTTCCTTCCGATAAAGATAAGATCTCACGATGTTGACCAGGCTGGTCTGGAACTCCTGGCCTCAAGCAATCCTCCCACCTTGGCTTCCCAAAGTGCTGGAATTACTGGGATTGTAGGCATGAGCCACTTCGCCCCGCACCCAACATGCTTTCTAAGACCAGCCCTTCCTTTCTCAGGTAGCCAAAGGAACATTTGTTAAGCAAGCCGTGGCCAGCATTGCTGTTGTTGGTTTACAAGGGGATTACAGAACACGGTCCCTATCTTTGGGGAGTGCCCCATTAGACAGCAGGGAGTGGGTCATCTCTGTCCCAGTTCTGGTTCCATTTCTGAGAGTTCTCCTAACCTGTCCTCTTCTTCCTCCCTCTTCCCTGTTGCCTCCCTGTCCCCTCCTCCCACCCACCCCTTGGATCAAGGTCAGTTTCTTATCTCAGCAAGCTCTCTTAAGTCTGCCATAACTACTGTCCCAGGCTGGGCCACTCCTATCTCCTATCTGGACAACCCACCAGCCCCCACCGTTTCCCGGCTTGTGTTGCCCTCCAATCCCTTCCACTGAAGCAGCCAGAGGGAGGTGTCCACTCCTGATTCAAACCCTTCCTTAGCTCCGCATGGCCTGGGGTGGAGTCCAGCCTTCCAGGGCAAAAATTCAGGGCTTCCCGGGTCTGGCCCTGGCCTCTTCCTCTGTGTCCTGGGCTGCTCCCATGCCTGGGAAGCAGAGACCCTGGACGACTGGTCCTGTTTGTCTCATCAGGAGCTTCCTGGAGGCTGTGCGGGCTGGAGCAGTAAGCCCCAGGCTGGGCTGGACTGTGCTTGGCTGAGCTGCAAAGGTCTGGCCTGGACACCTGCTGCCCCCACCCCTGGTTTTTTGCCCCCCATTCACTTTCCAGCTCTTCCTTCTACCACCCCCTCAGCCCAAGCCTCATCAAACGCAGACTCTCCAGGCAGAAAGGGACCCTCCCTGTCACTGTTCCTGTAGGGAAACTGCTCAAGGTCACAGAGCAGGTCAGAGGCTGCCTGGGTGGGGTGAGAACACCCAGACCAAGCCTCTTTCCTGTGCTTCAGGGAAGACCAGGCAGGGTCTCCACAGTCCCAGAGGGAGGAAGGTGAGGTGTGTGCCCTCCTCTGGCTGCACCTTGGAAACAGTTGGTCTCTGGGCTGCCCTCCTTCAAGCCTCCCTTCTCCACTTGGGGTGCTTTGATTCCTGGTTGTTCTGTGCGCCTGCTTTGCCATGAGGCCTCAGTGCCTATGGTTGGATCATTAATTCTGGAGTGAGTGGGAGGTGCAAAAGGGACCCAGTTTAGAAAAAATGGGCTTGATAGAAAGGCCATAATCTGCCACCTGCTGGTTGGATTCAAGTTTCTACAAACTCCTGGTCTTTGAATCTTGCTGTCATCACTGTGACCTTGAAATCCAAGATCTCTGCTCAGTGTCCCTACCTCCCTCCTCTCACTCAAGACCCACCGTCTTTCATTGTTCCCATGCCCCCTTCGCTGGATCCATTCTCCCGATTCACACCTGCATCCCAATCCCAGAGGGATTTGCACAGGGAGATGGTTCTGGCAAGGGCAATGCTTAACCCAAAGAAACTGTGTGCTAATGGGGGGATTCTGGGCAGCATGACAAGCCAGATGCAAGGGAGGGGCTCTGGGACAGGAGCTTGCTAGAACTCCTCTCACCCGATCTCTAGACACTCACCTTCTTTCTCTGAGTAAGACTGACCCATTTGTGCTTGTTACTGAATTAAAATTCCAAGGAAAGACAGGCTGCAGGTTGTTCCCAAATAGGAAACACACATACACAGAGAATGAGGAGCCTCTGCCAACATCCCAGGCAGGCCTCTTCCCCTCCCTGCACCATAGCCCTACAGTCCCTGTGCAGGCTGACCAGGGTGAGGAGAAGGATCTGGTAATGTTTCCTGTGGCCAAGGTAAGTGCCTCTGCTCCAGGCAGCCCCCATCACGGCAGCCCTTCCAAGCAGGAAGGCTGGGGGGCGGGGGCCTGGAGGTGGGAGTGTTTTCAACATGAAGTCATTTCCCACAGTGAAGAAGCAGCCACGTTCTGCACGGTCCACTGGCAGTCTGGGATGTTTGCCCAGCACCAGGAGAGAGTCTAAAAATGCCCAAGCCCATCTTGGGATCTCAGGAGGCTGGCTGGAAGACAACCCAGGAGTCGTCCAATCCTAGAACAAACTGCCCACTCCACACTGAACCCAGCCTAGGGTGAAGCTCTTCCCAGCCTCCAAGGGCTCCAGGTCCTGCTGGATGATATGATGTCTATACATAGATCACTGACTGGAGCCCCTCAAGAGCAGGGCTTGTTCTTTCTCATGTCATGGTTCCCAGCACCTGGTCCTAAATAGATGCAGCTACTTGGTATGTGTTAAACTGAGTTGAAAATTCGATTAGGTGTCAGGGGTGGGATAAACAGTTGTAGGCACGCGCAGGAGGATACTCTTGCTGATGGCAAAGGCATTAGGGACATCTCCAAAGAAGAGAAGGGTTTGAAGTTTAGCCTAAGATATCCTTACTTGGAGAACAGAAGGGAGCAGACACCTGGTAGGGAGCATGGCAGTGAGGATAGGTTCAAAGAGCCATGAACGGCACTCTCCTACATGACTATGATAATTAAAGCAATGTGTTGGACTAGGCAGTGTAATTGGCAATGTGTAACTGGCAGAGGGGCCAGTGTAACAGACTAGGCATGGAATATATAACATATGAAGAAATTAAGGATACACAGCCAGCCAATGGGGAATTGATGAGTTAATCAACAAATGCAGTTGGGAAAATGGGCTAGTAGGGAGACAGAAAGCAAGTTCGAGCCCGACCTTAGACAGTGTACCATAATAAATAATGACAAACAGCTGCCCCGTTGGGCTCAGAATTGGAGATTAGGTGGGACAGAGGTACATATGAGACAGATCACCTTATCTATTCACCTGTTCCCTGAGCCCCAGCAAAAGTGATTTTCTGCACCCAAGTCCTGTAGGAAGCCATTCTTTGCTTCTCTTTTCCCAATAAATTTCTTTTTTATTTTATTTATTTATTTTTTATCACTCGTGCTAGACAATGGGTGGTCTTGGGGATTTGTCCCATCCTCTCAACTGCTGGTGTAATGGAAACCTAGGATGACATACCAGGAAGGGACCCTAGAAATTGTCCCATTGCCTCATTTTATAGATGGAGAAAATGGGGCCCAGGGAGAAAAAAAGCCTTATTCAATGTTGCACAACTAGTTGAGGGCAGGGCCAGGCCTGGACCACCCCTTCCCTGTGATCCTGCCCACTGTTCCTCTGCAGCCCTTTATCCTTTCCTCCTCACCCCTTTTCTAAGGCCCTCACTGCTTTCCTCTGGCTCTTCTGAGTTTCCTGTGGTGTCCACACTGCCGGGTGTCTGTTCACTTTGCAGCCTGACAACTCTTATTTAAGACAAAGTTGGACTACTGAGAGAGTGAGGATGTCTAGCATCCCTGGTCTCAGAATGGGCCCCGGCCACCCTCCCAGAACAGACTCTGCCCAGCTCTGAGTCTGGCTGGGGACTGGGAACACAGACCTTCTCTGGCTCTGGCTCAGAAGATCCAGTCCCTGTGTATTTCCCCCACTACACTGACTGAGTGACCTTGAACATGTCACCACTTTGGGCCTGACTGCTTTTCTTGAAAACAGGAATAATCGGACCTACCATTTAGAGCTTCTATGAAGATCAAATGAGTCAAGTGTGTGGAATCCTGCCTGATAAACTGCAAGACACCATTCCAGTGTAGAGTGTTGGTCTCACCCAGACCCCAACACAGGGCAGCATCTATTGAATAGTGGTAGAACAGTGGTTCTTAATCGGGAGGTGATTCTGACACTCCAGGGGACCTTGGGCAACATCTGGGGACATTTTTGGTTGTCTCAATTGGATGGGAGTTGCTATGGCATCTGATTGGTGAAGGCCAGGGATACTGCTAAATATCTTACAATGTATAGGGCAGCGCCCACAGCAAAGAATTATTCGCCCCAAATGTCAATATTGCTGAGACAAATGAAAGTGTGAAATTATATCTGTAGGTACAGACGTGGGTTGTCATTCCAGAAAGGCAAAGGAGCTGTGGGTGGGGAGCTGACCATCAAGGTACCATGGTGACCAAGAACAGGAACCACCGGGGTTAAATGAGATGGCTATGCCCAGGTTTGATAAGTTGAAAACATTTTATTTCAATTCTATCCTTGGGAGGCAGCATAAATAATCACAGAAGACCACAAAGGTCATTGGGGAAGAAAAAAAAAGCTCCAGAAATGTAGGGAGGAGGAGATGAGTGCTGACACTGTCTAGCTGTGGGGTACAGGGTGAGGAGGCCCTACCGTAGCTGGCTGGGAGGATGGAGGTTCTTAGAGGAAAGGCCCAGCTCACCTGGAGGGGCTTGGGTAGCCCTGGCCTCTGTGGATGGGATTTTCCGTAGGGCGGCCACGGGAAAAGCAGGTATGGAGTAGAATGCATCTAGTAGATCCTAGCTAATGAAAGAAAAGAGTGGACACCCATTTCTCGATTTCCAGATCTCACCCCAAACTGTGACTCTTCTGAGAACAGTGTTTATAAACTCTTTGTGGGTAGTGGGAAATGAAAGGACGAAAAAAGAAGGAATAAAAGAACATGTGTACAAGATCAAATGAAATGTGACATCTCAGAGCTGCGTGACCTTGGGCCACTTCTCTCGGTTTCCTCATCTGCAGAAGGGAGTAGATGTGAGGCTCAATGAGATCCTATGTGTCAAAGGACTGCAGAAACTTTAAAGTGCTATACGGATGCGAGTGGCTGTGGTCATTCTACGTGCATAAGGCTGAAAGTGGCTGAGATAGTGGTGCTGAGACACACGCAGAGCATCCCTAGAAGCCATCAGACCCTGGTCTGCCTTCCCCAGGGCCAAGCTCCACCCTTCTCAGCCTCAGCTTCCAGGAGGATGAGGCCTCATCTCAGATGGAGTCCCCTGGGGAGGGTGGTGGTGACAACCGAGGGTGGGGACCTGAAGGATCTAGGGGCACAGCGTGAGGGGCCTCAACTGGGCAGTGTGGCACATCGGCACTACTGGTGCTGGGTAGACGGTAGCAGTGGCTTCCAGTTCTCATTCTCCGCAGAGACTTGGGCACTGGTGAAGCCCACAATGGGATTGGCATCTTGATGCAGTGGGAAAGGCCCTGGCCTTGGGGTCTGAACACCCAGGGTCCTGGTTGTGGGTCCATTGTTGACCTGCTGGGTGACTTCATAAGTCACTTCCCCATTGCAACCCTCAGTTCTGTCATTTGTCAAATGGGGACACTAATCCCTACCCTGCCTGGCTCACAAATTGAATGGGAAAAGGGTGTGCAAGAGCTTTGAAGAGAATCATGGGGAAGGCAAGGGGTCATTATGGCCTTGGAGAGCAATCCTCTGAATTCCCTGAAGACAAGAGGGTGGGAAGGGAAGAGACAGAAAGAAGCCGGGCCGCTCGCTGCCCTTGTCGGGTGAGGCAGGCTTCTGGGGCTGCTGGGGGAAGAGGGGGTGGGACGAAAGAGGGATCACTGCAGCCTGCAGTCCAGCACTTACGCTGTGGTACCTTCAGTGATGCTGAGAGCTCCAGGTGGGAGTGCTGAGATGTCCTGGCAGCCCCCTTCACAGGGGAGAAGTCCAAGTTCTAAGTCTAGCTGAGATCCCGCTTCCCCCTTTGCTTCTTGGTCCACTGAGATAGAGTCCCCGTCAACCCCAGAGAGTCTGTGGTCTTCACCCAACTGAGGGGAAGCCTGGGTCCTGGGGTGGCAGGGAAAGGGGCTGCCGGCGGGGCTCTCCAGGAGAAGCTGGGGACTTTTATTAGCATGAGGTCAGGAGGTCAGAGGTTGGCTTCCAGTTCTCAAGGTGGTAGGCGGGGGTCCTCAGGCTGGCCCCCTCTCCTGTCCTGGCTCTGTCTCTGGGGTCACTGGTAAGGGAGAAGTTAAGGGACGAGTAGAAACGACGGAGAGATCGGCTTAGAAAACAGCCCAGCTGCGGAGCTAACAGTTCTTGGGGCTGTTGCGCAAGTTTTTCAGTTCCAGCTGGAGCTGCCGAATGCGGATGTCCTTCTGGGACAGCTCTTCTTTCAACCGTCGAATCTCATCCTGCTGCCGGAAGAACATTCGAAGGAGCTGGGGTGGAGGAAGAAAGGGGGCCAAGGAGGGCCCAGGAGAGAGCAGGTGAGACAAGGATTTCCCAGGTGAGTCTTCCAGTTGCCTGCCGCCCGTGCCCTCACATTCCCCCAGGCCTCCCACTGCTTGATCCACTTATTCTCCCCAGCCACTCATTACCACTGCACCTCTCCCATCTCTAGCTCAGTCCACAGCTCTTACTTTCCCGTGTGAGGCAGGAAACAAACAAAACCTGCGTCATTAACTGATTCAGGATCACCGAAAAAGGAGTGACCAAACAGTCGTTTTCCAAATATCCCAAGCTTGTCCCTTTCTGGGTCCTAACCTAATGCTTTTCTTTACCATTGTATTAATAGATGTATTGATTATTACATCTATAATAATATATAATAATAGATGTACAATAATACATAATCATAGATGTATAATAACACATAATAATAGATGTATAATGATACATAATAATAGATGTATAATAATACATAATAATAGATGTATTATTACATGTATTACATTATTATTGATAATTTACATATTTATTTACTTTTGAGACAAAGTCTCGCTTTGTCGTCCAGGCTATAGTGCGGTGGTGTGATTTTGGCTCACTGCAACCTCCATCTCCTGGGTTCAAACAATTCTCCTGCCTCAGCCTCCCGAATAGCTGGGATTACAGGCATGCACCACCATGCCTGGCTAATTTTTGTATTTTTAGTAGAGACAGGGTTTCACCATGTTGGCCAGGCTGGTCTCAAACTCCTGACCTCAAGTGATCCGCCCACCTCAGTCTCCCAAAGTGCTGGGATTACAGGTGTAAGCTACCACGCCTGGCTTGTGTTGATAATTTAGAACTTTCTAAAATGCTTTGTATCATTCTCTTCTTAAGGAGGCTCAGGATACAGAATGGAATCTAGCTTTTTTCCTACTGATGAGGAACTATGACAAGAATACCAAAGTTTGCACTGGTCAGGGATTCATGTACAGCTATCTTGGCAGATCTTCACCCCAACGACTCTCTAGCTTAACCCGCCTCCACTTCTCCTGTAAAACATATTGACAGATGTCCACAAAACGCTGAGCCCTGGAAAGCAGCAGGCTCCTTGCAGCTCCTGCACACCTGAGTTGAATGTTACCCACAGTCAATTGTGTTTGGCCTCAAACTTTCTGGTGTGAATTACATTGTTATTGTAATTGCATAATTTAATGAAATATGATATAAATTGATGAAATGAGCACAAAAAGAGAGTTGTTGTTTCTACAAAAACTTAATTAAATGCTTAGAAAATCTTGATAAAGGTGATGCTAAAAAAAATTGCAGCTGAATTAGGTGTGGAAGATGTAGCCCTAAAAGACTGGAGAATATTCTATATCTGGCTGATGGTGGCTGCATGACTGCGTGTTGTTCGTCAAAACTCTGAAACCAACCCACTACAGAGGATGAATTTTACCATAGGCAAATTATACCTCAATGTCTCAAAAAAAGATGAGGGAAAACACTGTAAAAACTAGGACTTTGCTTTCAGATGGACTTTAAATTATTTTTCTACCTAAAAGAAATGGAAACCGGAAATGGGAGTTAAGGTGTGATTTGTTTGATATACATCACAGATTCCAACCAGGGAGGGCCTCCTTGAAGAAAAGGTCTTCATCGAAATATGCTAAATGAATGTATATGTTTTATTTTTATTGTTTATTTACTTATTTGTTTGTTTGTTTTTGAGACAGAGTCTTGCTCTGTCACCCAGGCTAGAGTGCAGTGGCACGATCTCGGCTCACTGCAACCTCCGCCTCCAGGTTCAAGGGATTCTTCTGCTTCAGCCTCCGGAGTAGCTGGGATTACAGGTGTGTGCCACCACGCTCAGCTAATTTTTGTATTTTTAGTAGAGACGGGGTTTCACCATGTTGGCCAGGCTGGTCTTGAATTCCTGGCCTCAAGTGATCCATCCTCCTCAGCCTCCCAAGGTGCTGGGATTACAGGTATAAGCCATCATCCCAGCCTACTTTTATTTTTTAGGGATAGAATCTTGCCATGTTGCCCAGGCTGGACTCAAACTCCTGGGCTCAAGCGATCCTCCCACCTGAGCCTCCTGAGTAGCTGGGATTAGAGGGGTGCCACTGCACCTGGCATGTTTTATGTTTAAAACAAAAATAAATGGTTTAAAGAATGTATTGACCAGGCATGGTGGCTCATGCCTGTAATCTCAGCATTTTAGAAGGCTGAGGTGGGTGGATCACGAGGTCAAGAGTTCAAGACCAGCCTGGCCAAGATGGTGAAACCCCGTCTCTACCCAAAAATATGAAAATTAGCTGGGTGTGGTGGCAGGCGCCTGTAACCCCAGCTACTCGGGAGGCTGAAGCAAAGAATTGCTTGAACCTGGGAGGTGGAGGTTGCAGTGAGCTGAGATCATGCACTACACTCCAGCCTGGGCAACAAAGTGACTCCATCCCAAAACAAAACAAAACAACAACAACAAAAACGAATGTATCTATCGGCTGGGTGCCGTGGCTCACACCTGTAATCCCAGCACTTTGAGAGGCCAAGGGAGGTGGACCACCTGAGGTCAGGAGTTCGAGACCAGCCTGGTCAACATGGTGAAACCCTGTCTCTACTGAAAATACAAGAATTAGCCAGGCATGGTGGTGGGCGCCTGTAGTCTCAGCTACTTGGGAGGCTGAGGCAGAAGAATTGCTTGAACCCGGGAGGTGGAGGTTGCAGTGAGTCAAGATTGTACCATTATACCACAGCCTGGGTGACAGAGCAAGACTCTGTCTCAAAAAAAAAAAAAAAAAAAAAAAAAAAAAAAAAAGAATGTATTTTTTTAAATTTTCCCCTTTTTTTTTTTTTTTTTTGAGACAGAGTTTCACTCTTGTTGCCCAGGCTGGAGTGCAATGGTGCAATATCCGCTCACCACAACCTCTGCCTCCTGGGTTCAAGTGATTCTCCTGCCTCAGCCTCCCAAGTAGCTGTGATTACAGGCGTGCGTCACCACGCCTGGCTAATTTTGTATTTTTAATACAGACAGGGTTTCACCGTGTTGGTTAGGCTGGTCTCAAACTCTTAACCTCAGGCGATCTGCAAGCGTCAGCCTCCCAAAGTGCTGGGATTACAGGTGTGAGCCACTGCGCCCAGCCACAATTCCCTCCTTTAACTAACTTAAAAAAAATATTTTTTGTTAACTAACAAACCACTAGTCCCAGTTATATCTGTTCAGAGGTATGACATACTATTTGCCTTTGCACTAAATGACTACACACTCTTGTGTCTTCCAAGTTCTCAAAATTTCTTTGCGTTGTTTTTTGGTCCACTTTTGTCAAATAAAACCACGTTAGTGAGGTGTAATTCACACACTATAAAATTCACTCATTTAAAGCATACGATTCAGCGATTTTTAGTAAAGTTACTGAGTTGTACAACTGTAGGTCTTTTCCCTTGCATCAAGCTATGAGTTGTTTCCTCACACTTAGATCAATGTGTCCACCTCTGACAGCCGCACTTTCTAATTGGCTGCTTCCAAACTGCTGTGATGATTAAAACTATGGATATAGCCAGAGTCAGCAGGTTTTGAGAAAGCTTCTTCCCAACGAGGAAGATGCACAACTTTGGTGTAGATTGTGGCATCTGTTTTGTCTGCTCTGAGACCCTTTAAGGTTTTCCTCCAGGTTCTCAGTTCTGAGTCACATAGGCAAATCTACAGCGAAATATTGTTTAACTACTATTGAACCCTGCCTTCTCCAGACCCAGTGCCAGAACTGAGTTCAGGCCCTTGTTATTGCCCTCCTGGGCTATCACAGTGACCCCTGTGTCTCTATCTTCAAAAAGTAGGGTTCTTTTAAAAACAAGAAAATAGCTTGGCGCAGTGTCTCATGACTGTAATCCCAGCACTTTGGGAGGCGAAAGTGGAAGGATTGCTTGAGCCCAGGAGTTTAAGACCAGCCTGTGCAATATAGTAAGACCCTGTCTCTACAAAAATGTTTAAAATCAAATTAGTTGGGCATGGTGGTACACGCCTCTAGTCCCAGCTACTCGGAAGTCTAAGGTGGGATTATTGCTTGAGCCTAGGAGATTGAGGCTGTAGTGAGCTATGATCGTGCCACAGCACTCCAGTCTGGGAGATAGGGCAGGACCCTGTCTCTAAAACATAAATAAATAAATGCAAGAAAAAACTTAAAACATTTTTTAAGTGAAAAATGTTATATATATATTAATAGAAAGTATAGCACCATGAACCCCCAAGTACCCATCACTCAGCTTTAGTCTCCACCTCCTGGGTTCAAGTGATTCTCCTGCCCCAGCCTCCTGAGTAGCTGGGATTGCAGGCATGCACCACCATGCCTGGCTCATTTTTGTATTTTTAGTAGAGACAGGGTTTCACCATGTTGACCAGGCTGGTCTCGAACTCCTGACCTCAGGCGATCCACCCACCTTGGCCTCCTAAAGTGCTGGGATTACAAGCATGAGCTACCGCGCCCAGCCTGTGGGACCATTCTTACTTCATCTCTACTACCACCCACCTCCCCTGCACCACTTTCCTCAGGGGTTATTTTAAAGCAAATCCCATTTATCACATCATTTCATCCAGCCCTGAATATCCCTCTACATTGGCATACAAGCATATTTTATGGCAATTATCAAGTTACCTGCCAATCTCCCCCTTAAGACTGTGAGGTCCCAGAGGTCAAGAAGGGTCTTATTTTTATTAATAATAGTGATAATGGGCCAGGCGTGGTGGCTCACATCTGTAATCCCAGCACTTTGGGAGGCCAAGGTCAGGAGTTCAAGACCAACCTCTCAAACATGGTGAAACCCTATCTCTACCAAAAATATAAAAATTAGCTGGGCATGGTGGTGCACGCTTGTAATCCCAGCTACTTGGGAGGTTGGGGAAGGAGAATCATTTGAACCTGGGAGGTGGAGGTTGCAGTGAGCTGAGATTGTGCCACTGAGCTCCAGCCTGGGCTACAGAGTGAGACTCCTTCTCAAAAAAAAAAAAAAAAAAAAAAGTGATAACATAAGTTGGTGGTATAGGTGGTGTCTAATTTAAGATAGCTCTCATGTTATTCCCTCTCCTCAAGCATGGGCTAGCCCTAATAGATTGCTTCAAATGAACAGAATAGGGCAGAAGTGGTGGGATACCATTTCCAAGATTAGGTGACAGAAAGACTGGCTTCCATCTTGGGTGCCCTCTCTTGCTCTTCTGCTCACACACCCTGTTGTGAGCTGCCTTATGGAGGAGTCCACATGGCAGGGACCTGAGGGAAGTTCTGGCCAACAGCCCAAGGAGGAACTGAGGCCCTCAGTCCAATAGCCCCTGAGGACATGAGTCCCAGCAGCAACCACATGAATGAACTTGGAAGTAGATCCTTCCACAGTTGAGCCTTCAGATATGATTCCAGCCCCAGTGGACAGTGTAACTGTACCCTCATGAGAGACCTTCAGCCATGGGCATGCAAAGAAACTGTGGGCTAATAACGTGTTTGTGGGTTTAGGCCATTAAGTTCTAGGGTAATTTGTTACACAGCAATAGATAGCTGATACAGTTGACCTTTTCCTTTGAGCACTTAACATGAGCCAGGAAGAGTGCTAGACACTTATGAATTATCTCTTTAATGCTCATAGCATTCCATATCCCTATTTTACCACAAGGAAATGGACTTACAAAGATCAGTAAACTTGCTCAGTCACAGCCAGGAAATGGCAAAGCCAGGATTCAAATGCAGGTGGGGTCATGCAGCCATCTCCATTTCAGTTGTATCATGCCTTATGTCTGGCACACAGTAGGCATCCTGTGAACCCCAGCTGAGCTAAACCATGTTGGCATCAGGGAATGGGGGTGTGGGCTGGAAGGAGATACCACTGGGGGACATGGACAAGGCCCAGTCGAGCTGCCCCGAAAGAGCTTGCTCCCGTCTCAAGTGGTACAAAGAGCACCTTCATGGCTGGGCGCGGTGGCTCACGCCTGTAATCCCAGCACTTTGGGAGGCCGAGGCGAGTGGATCACGAGGTCAGGAGATTGAGACCATCCTGGCTAACACGGTGAAACCCCGTCTCTACTAAAAAAAGACAAAAAAACTAGCGGTGTGGTGGTGGGCACCTGTAGTCCCAGCTACTCGGGAGGCTGAGGCAGGAGAATGGCATGAACCCAGGAGGCGGAGCTTGCAGTGAGCCGAGATCGCGCCACTGCACTCCAGCCTGGGCAACAGAGCGAGACTCCATCTCAAAAAAAAAAAAAAAAAAAAAGAGCACCTTCATAAACACCCAGTCTCTTCCACAAAGACTGGAAGTGTCAGACCCCAGCACTGCTGCAACGCCAGTGAGGGAGGCAGGGCTGTGATACACGAGGCCAGGCTTGCCCTGTTAGTCAGGAATTTATAACTTCTGGAACACCAAATGACAGCAACGTTCTGGAATGAATTCATGAGGAGATGCATAACTCTGTAGGTTAGTGAATTTGAGGTGTGGGGGTGGTGTGGGGAACTGATATCTCCAGACATCCCAGCTTCTATTTATCGGGGTCAGAGGCATCAGAAACCAATATCAGGCTACTTATGGTATTTGTCACAGAAAGAAAAATGTCTCAGAATGGAACTGGCTTAAAGGCCTGAAGCCCGTAATTGAAATGTAAAGTTCTTGTTCTTCTAGGGCCTGTGGAGGTAATAACTTACATTCCTTACCTCATTCTCTGTCCTGGGTGGGACATTTTCTAATAAATCTATTCCGTTGACCACAACACTCTTCTTTTCTTTGATGGGAGCCTTAAATACCATTTTTGAGGACTTCTTATAGCCTTCTTTCAAAGACATCAGCACAGGATCTAAAGAAGGCAAGGGAAATGCTCTCACTGATGATCCCATGGGCTGTCAGGTGATGGTCCAGCAGGCTGGGTGGGAGGGAAGTTCAAGCACGGGAATAGGCAAGGGGAACTGGGGCAAGCTGCGCTGAAGGCAAAGGCTGCAGCCCTCCTGTGCTCTGTGGAGTCCCCTGCTGTGGTACCTCGGTTGATGCCTCCCAGCCATTCATCCGGGGTCAGTGCTGGCTCCGTGCCTGGTGTCATTGGGTAAATGTCTTCCTGGTAGGAATCTGACTGCAGTGGGAGGAGCAGAAGAGAGGACAGATGGGGGGCTGCTAGAAAAGCCCCTACTCTTCAGTCAGACTCTTCTCACTGATCTCCAATCACGCTACCTGCTCTCCTGCCTCTATGCCTTTGCACTGCGTTTTCCTCCTGGAACTACCCACCTGCACTCATGAGTAAACCCAACTGTCCCGTCTGAGGATGCCCCTCACCCCAAATTGGGTTTGAAGACCCCAGTCCACAGCACATCTCTCACCTGGGTTTCTCCAGGGTCATGGTCAGTGGTGAGCAGGCTAGGATGCAATGCGCCCCCCTCCCGGAGCCCAGCCCAGCCCCACTTACCCTCCGGGGCACGATCATGGAGATGGGCTCGATGAGGCCCTTGAGAGTCACCAGCTTGTAGAAGCGGAACACCTCGCAGGCTGACACATCCAGCCCGTGCTTGGGCATGACCCCTGTAACAGGCACACATGTGGCTCCATGGGGTACCAGAAACTGCCTCTCAGTGACATCACCCCATGATGTTCTGGGCCGGGGAAAGGCTGAGGAATGTACTTAGGTTTGGAGGCAACGGCCCATGCAGAGGGCAGAGGGTGGACCCGGGCTTCTTCAATCAGTCTCTGTCTCTGGATGGTCACCTCTCAAGCTCTTTGGGCCAGACCTGCCTCACCACAGTGCACGCTTTATAATTGGACCCCTCAGAATTGGAAGAGGTCTGGATGCAGCCCGAGATTGCTGTTCTGTTCTATGCCTCCTAGAACCAACAATGTGTGCACATGTTGCCTGTGTGGGTTCACTTGCCACGTGTCCCTAACAGCTGCCTCTGCTGAACATCTATCATGGGAACGAGGGGCAGTGCGGTGCGAGGAGCACAGTTCTATCTAGGGGTGGACCAACGGGGTTTGAATCCTGACTCTGTCCCCTTTCCATCTGGGAGTCCTTTGGCAAGTCACAACTCTCTGAGCTTCTAGTTCCTTGGCTGGTTCGAGGAGGACAACAGTGGCCCCATATGAGGTGATCAGGAGAATATGTGCCAAGATACTCATTAACTGCCTGGCACCGTGACGAGCACAGACAACATTAGTTTCTTTCCCTGTATTGTGAATATGAGTTAAGGCTCTGCCTCTCCTCCACTGGGCTGGAAGCCTGCTCTTCCAGATAAAGAAATTCCAGGAGCTGGAGGGGAAGGGGTGAAATGGTTTCCCAAATGGGATTAAGAGTCAGCAGATTCGGTCTGAGTTCTGCCTCTGCTACTCAGCAGGTAAGACCTGCCTCTGGTGAGCTGCTTAATTTGTCTGAGTCAATAATAAGTGCCTAGGTCACAGCAAATGCTCAATAGTGGTCACAGGTGAGGAGGATGAGGATGAGGATGAGGTGAGTCATTCTGAGTTCTTCCTCCTTCTTTCCTCTCCAGCCCTCCATATCTGATACCTTAGCAAGTCCTGCTGACATTACTTTCTAAACATCTGGATTCATCCTGTTCTCCCTGTCTTCCTCCTGTCCACCTATTATCCTCTCTTGCCTAAAAGTCTACAACTTCTTCCTAACTGGTTGCCCTGCCTTCCTCCTGCCCCTCCCAAATCCATTCTCTCTACTGAAGTCAGAGAATTTTTTTTTTTTTTTGACAGAGTCTGGCTCTGTTGCCCAGGTTGGAGTGCAGTGGTGTGATCTCAGTTCACTGCAACCTCTGCCTCCCAGGTTCAAGCAATTCTCCTGCCTCAGCCTTCCAAGTAGCTGGGATTACAGGGGTGTATCACCACACCCAGGTAATTTTTGTATTTTTAGTGACAGGGTTTAGAGACAGGGTTTCACCATGTTGGCCAGGCTGGTCTCGAACTCCTGACCTCAGGTGATCCACCTGCCTCGGCCTCCCAAACTGCCAGGATTACAGGTGTAAGTCACCACACCTGGCTGCCAGAGCAATCGTAACTAACATTTCAGATCACATCATGTTGTCTCATCTCCCACTCAAGAAAAAGAACCGTCCCCACAATGATTTCCTAATCAAATGCAAACTGCTTTCCCAGGCTAATGCATCCCATGGATTCAGCCCCTGCCCACCTCTCCAACGGTCTCCTAACACCCTACCCCCATCTCCTGCTACATCACAGAGTCTACACCATGTTCAGCCACACTGACCTCCTTTCTGTTCCTAGAACATGTCAGGCTCATTCTGGCCACAGAGCCTTTGCACTAACCATTCCCCCTGCTGGGACTGCTCTTTCTCCTTCCCATCTTTCAGAGCTCAACCTAAAATATCATCACAGAGAGGCCTTCCCTGATCACCTATGTAAAGTAGCCCCCAGTCACTCTCTGTTCTAGCACACCCTTTGACTCTCTGCCTAGAACTCATCCCTACACAACATTTTTCTTATTTGTTTACTGCCTGTCTCCTGCTCAGTGGAATGTGATCCCCATGAGAGTAAGGCCATGTTCTATTTGCCACTGGACTTTGTGCAAGGTCTGGTATACAGTTGGAACTCAATAACTGTTTGTTGAACAGCTATGTGAAGGAGCAGAAGGAGTCAAGTGCTCTGTCAGGTGCCTTGCACATATGGTCTCTAAGCCTTACATTAGCCATTCAAGGAAGGTTTGATTATCTCCATTTTACAGTTGAGGAAACTGAGACTTAGAGGGATTAAGTGCACAGCTGAGCCAGAATGTAAACCCAGGTCTGACTCCAAAGTTCAGGCTGATTTTTATACTATTTGATGCAGGAGTGACAGTGAAGGAGGTGGGGATGACAGAGTTGGGGAAGGGTAAAGTTGATGGAATGGTGATTGGGACTTTGGACATCTCTTGGCTTCCATTTTGCTGTTGGTCACTGGAGTGGGCTGTCAGGTCCTTTCAGCCCTGATGGAAGCTGGCCCTCAGGCCCTGTCCATAATACCAGACCCACAGGAAAGCAAACTAGACTCAAGCTCCAAGGAGGATCACCGCAGAGGTGGGAACGGGAGGTCCTTGAAAATAGGTGTTTCACTGGGTGATTTGGACCCCAAATGTAGAATTGCTGAATCATATGCATTACCAGGTTAGTTGAAAGGAGGGAAAATTGGTTGTAAGACTTTTAGTGGTGGGAGAATGTGGGTTCTCACTCACTACACCCTGTCAAGCCCGGAGCCCTCTCTGTGTTTCTGCCTGAGAGCCTAGGGAGCTTGAGGCTGCAGTCATGGGAACATCTGGAACTTCTTCCTGCCCTATCAGGCAGACAGAGCTGCTGCTGGGGTCTGGGAGTCCCAGCTTCCTAGAGGCTCAGGAAGGGACTTGTGCCTAGACCCCGCTCTGACCTTTAGTTACTGGACCACTTCCCACCATGGACCACTTCCCAACATCGTCATAGCCACTGTGGGCTTCAGGCTCCCCATCTGCGATCAGGAGTGCAGACGCAGAGCACATGCTGGCAAGCTGCTACTGATGGTGGATGTGAGCGCGGTGGGGTGACAGCGCTGGTCCAGTGGGCAGTGACAGCTGCAGCAGGGCCAGCTCATGCAGGTTCTGTTCCAACTTGCACATGTGCTGTGGCCTTCTGAGTCTGATTTTCCATTTAAGGGAGGGGGTGACCCATGGGCCAGATGTCCTCCCGTGCATGAGCACACCAGCTGTGGCAGCCTGGGGGCCCCTTACCTAGGCCTTTCTGCGGGGCTGGGGAGCGGAACTCCATGAGGTAACTCAGGTAGGGCTTCTCAGTGCTGATCTCGTAGTACCGGATGTTTCCATCACCCTGGGGTCAGGAGAGATGGAGGTGAGGAAGGTGGCAGGTAGGGAGGGCAGAGCAGGGCCTGGTCCCAGGAGCCACATGAAGACAGCTCTCCCCTGTGCTTCATGGGTGGTTGTAAAAACCAAGGAAACCTGGCTTCTAGGCTCCTAGTGGGTGCACCACAGTGGACTCACTGCGGGTGGAGAGGTGAAGGTGGGTGGGCTGATGTGAGTGTGTGTGTGTAGACAGCCTTTCTGACAAACAAGGTTATATTCACCAAAGTATCTCCTGGTGGGTATCTCAAATTCCATCATTCATCACTGACTACACTGCAGGCTCTGATCTTTACTCCAATGTAAAACCCACTCCAGCCCACCTTTGAAGGAATTCTTGGTAGCAGACACTTGAGTAAGAATGGGTGTCAGACTTGAGGGCAGGTGTGAATGGGAGAGGTGAGGCCAAGGAACTTGGGTTGGGTCAGGGAACACCAGAGAGGTTAGGCTGGCTATTCTCAAGGGGGTGGGGCAGTTGCGGGGGTGCAATGAAGGCAGGGCTTTCCCACAGGCTGCCCCGGGCCCTCCCCCGCCTCCTACTACCTTTCCAGCCAGGTAGAGCATGTGGGTGTCAGCATCATAGAAGGGGAACAGGAGACCAGAGAGCCCATCGATTTCCTCTTCGATCAGGGGCATGGACAGGTCCTCCTGAGGGAGAGGAGCTGGTCTCAGCCTCTCTACAGGCAGGATGGCATGCCCCTCCCCAAATCCCAGCAAGGCCGCTTAGGATGGCAACTACTTTATGTTAAGACCTCCCCTAGACGTTAAAAAGCCCGTCCTATGGGGGCCGGGCGCGGTGGCTCAAGCCTGTAATCCCAGCACTTTGGGAGGCCGAGGCGGGTCAGGAGATCGAGACCATCCTGGCTAACACGGTGAAACCCTGTCTCTACTAAAAAAAAAAAAATACAAAAAACTAGCCGGGCGAGGTGGCAGGCGCCTGTAGTCCCAGCTACTCGGGGGGCTGAGGCAGGAGAATAGCGTAAACCCGGGAGGTGGAGCTTGCAGTGAGCTGAGATCCGGCCACTGCGCTCCAGCCTGGGCGATAGAGTGAGACTCCGTCTCAAAAAAAAAAAAAAAAAAAAAGCCCGTCCTATGGGTGGTGGCAAGACTGACAAAAAGCAGGGGGCAGCAGAAAGGGTCGTACAAACAGCAGGCAAGGGACTTGTTCTCATTGTGCCCAAACGTGCTACTTGCTATGTGTCCCCAGGTAAGTCTCTTGATCTCTCTGGAGCTCAGCCCCCACTCTGGAAAAAGAGGGGGAACATCTTGCAGGCGTGGCCGACATTGTCCCTTGAGGCCTCTGTACCCAAGCTCGGCCTCTGGGGGTCTCTGTCTGATTTCTCCGCTGGGAATGCTATGAGAAGCTGGTGTGCGGGCCCAGGCTCCTGACTTTCTGAGGAAGTGACCTCTGAGGCAATGACGCTTCCTTTAGCCCAAACCCAGCAGGCCTCCCAGTGGCTGACCTGGTCCCAGAGGGCAATCTGTCTTGTGTTCCACCTGGAGACCCCTGTCGTGAGGAGCCGCTTCATGTTCCCCAGGAATACCACCCGGTTGACTCTGTGGTTTTTGCAGTTGGCCTCCTAGTAGGAACAGAGGGAAGTGGTGAGCCAGGGTCCTCAACATGTGGGTTCTGCAGTAGGATGAATGGTGGCACTGAAAAGATACACCCATGTTCTCAGCCCTGGCCCCTGCAATTGTTTCCTTATTTGGAAAAGGGTCCTGGCAGATGCGGTTAAGCTAAGGATTTGGAGATGAGATGACCCTGGATTGTCCAGGTGGATCCTGGATTCCATCATGAGTGTCCTGGTGGGAGAGAGGTAAGATTACACAGACACACAGGCGAGAAGGTGTGTGACCCTGGAGGCGGAGACTGGAGTGATGTGGCCACCAGCCATGGGAGCCAGCAACCTCCACAAGAGGCAAGGAATGGGTTTTCTCCTAGAGCATCTGTAGGGAGTACAGCCCTGCTGCCACCTTGATGTGGGATATCTGGCCTCTGGAACGATGAGAGAATACACTTTTGTTTTCAGCCACCTAGTTTGTGGGCATTTGTTACAGCAGCCACAGGACACTGTTCTAAGCACTGTGCAGCAATGGATCCACAGATGCCTTCTCTGTCGTTTCCCAGGGAAGGTGGGAACAGGGAGCGAGAGGGGAGCCAACCTCCACCAAGTCCAGTTGGGGGCTACACCACTCCAGGAGCTCTCACCAGGGGCATTGCTTTTCATCCTCGTAACAATATCTATCAGAAGAAATCATTATCCTCATTTTGAGGGTGAGGAAACTGAGGCTCAGAAGGACAAGAGACTCATGCCGATCACTGCTCCACAACTCGCCTCATCAGGGAGTGCCTCCTAACTGAGTTGTCTTGGGCCTCCTTTCCTGCTCACTGGCTCGTGACACTTGATTTCCTCCTAACACACAACAGTCCTCGGCATCAGGTAAGTTGGCAGCAGGTCAGAAAAGAGGTTAATGGGGCAGTGCACATATTCTGGCTGGCATCACTCACTCTGAACTCTAGTTCTAGCTCTGCCAAAAAAGTGTAGCCCAAGAGAAGACCTTCACCTTCCCTGGGCTCATGGCCCCGTTTGTGAATTGGAGGTGGGGGTTCTCTGTTCATAAACATCCTTTCTGTTTGTCATGGGCTCTGGGTTTGAATCCCAGCTCCTCCTGGAACCGTGAGATTCAAGTCTCCCAACTTTGCTAAGGTTCAGTGTTCTCATATATAAAATGAGAGCAGTAACAGTGCTTAGCTGAGAGGGCTGTCCTGAGGATTACATGAGACGATGTGCAGAGCCCCGGGCACAGTGCAGGCCGCACAGTGAGCTCTTAGCAGATGTCAGTTAACACTAATCATGCGAAGCAACTGTCATTATTCTTATTTGTAGTGGTACAGGTTGAGTAGCCCTTATCTGAAATGCTTGGGACCAGAAGTGTTTCAGATTTTGGATTGTTTCAGATGTCAGAATATTCGCATTATACCTACTAGCTGAGCTCCCTACATCCCCAAATCCAAAATCTGAAATGTTCCAACGAGCATTTCTTTCGGGTGTTATGTCAGTGCTGACAAAGTTTTGGATTTGGAGCCTTCTGGATTTTGGATTTTTGGATTTAGGATGCTCAACCTACAGTAGTAGATAACTTTCTGGTCTTGTAATATTGGACTACTCCAAGGTAAACAAACCCAGATCAAGCATCAGTCCCTCCTTGTGTAGAAGGCAGACCTCAGATATCATCCATATTTTCCATTCCATCTGTCCCCATGACCAGCACACAGCAGGTGCCCAAAAAATGGTAATTGCTTTTACTTCCCAATGGCATCTAACCCCTTCCTCAAACCCAAGACCCAGGAGATTCAAAGACCAAAAGTGGAGCTAAGTTCACCATCAACCTTGGCACCCTGAGCCATTTCCCCCAGGCTCATCCTATTGGGTGGCTGGGCAGTGAGTCCAGTGTCTCCTCCTCCTGTGCCTGTGATGGACTTGGTTAACACCTGGGGATATATGCACTGAAGGGTGTCACCAGCTCAGCCCCCAAAGCAAGCCAGAAGAATCCTGTCTGGAGGTAGGGGGTGCAGTGGGGACAGGAAAGATCCCTCCCCACCCAGAACAAGGCAGGGTTCCTATGAGCTGAGAAGGGTCCAGGAGAGCCAAAGTTGTTCAACAGAGGTGCAGTGAGATGCATTGGAGACGGGGGCTGGCACAGCCTTTTTTTTCCAGGCCTGCTGAAAGTCGAGCCCCAGCCCTCAATACCTTCCCCTTCAATCTCAAAAAATGTAGGGTTCCACCTGCAGAACACGGCCAGAGCGGGGCTCGATCACGCGCAGCTTCTTGTCCTTGCACGTGGTGGTGAGCAGGCTACCGTCCGTGTTGAAGGACATGCAGAGGATCACGTCCGTGTGGCAGTCGATCATCTTCACCGGCTCGCCCACGTCCAGGTTCCAGATGAGGACCTGCAATGGCAGACGCACGGGAGGCAGGGTCAGCGGCTGCTAGGGTCCTGGGGTGTTTGTCCCAAGTCCACACTGGACTGCCCTGGAAGAAGCACCCCATGCAGGGCCTGGGGTGTGCTGGGATGCAGGAGGGGTCGTTGAGTTCTATATGGAAAGGCTGATACATTCCTGGCACACAAATCCATCAATATCCTTGGTCAGATCCCAGCACCAGCCTGGGCTCAGTTTGTGGAAGAGCAAGAAGGATACATGTTCCTTGTCAGGTCCCATGTGGCAGCTCACCTTTTTTGAGGATGTGCCTGGGCCTAGGGGCTGAGGCTCCACTTTTTTCCCTCCAGCAGCTTTGGTTACCCCTTTTGCCACCTCTTGGTTAAGAAGTGGCCAGGCAAAGGGTGTGGGCATGGAAGGGGCATTCTCCTCCAGTCCATCAACCACCAGAGAAGGCAGAAAAGAAGCCTCCAGCCTCTGTGGACCCCAGGAATGACAGGGTGCACAGGAGATGCTCAGTTGCGTGTAGTGAATGAATGAATGAAGGAGCAAATGAACAGATGAGGCAATATTGGTTGCTTAGGAACCAACAGTGCTTCCCACAGGCACCCAAAAGGCCCCTTTCTCTTCCCCAATCCCTCTCCACCCAGCTGCCTGCCCACTGCATACCTTGTAGTCGTAGCCAGCACTGAACAGGATGTTGTTGGTGGTGGGGTGCCACTCGACCAGCCCCACACGCCGGCTGTGCCCGTGCAGCTCCAGGAGAGCCTCTGTCATATTCCGCTTCAGCCCGCCCTCGGGGATCTCCCAGATCCGCACCTGCAGAGGGGGATGAGGGTCCAGGCTGGGTGGACATGGCCAAGAGGGCCCTTGATGAGAGGTGCCCCTTCCCTCGGACACCAGGCTTTCTGAGATCTGCCTGTGAGGCACCTCCTGGCTTGTGGCGATGGGCAAAGCCCGACTGAGGCCTGCTGGGAGATCTCAGGGTGTGGCTAGAGAGGAAAGAGACCATCTCTCTGCCTGTGGGAGGTTTTTCTCTGGGAAGTCTCTGCAGACCTAAGAACTGTTATTACTGGCATGTTGCTACTGCTGTGGCCTAGCCCGACTAAGAAGAACACACATGAGCCTCTTTTAGCAAGTGTGTTAAAAAGTCTATCCTTGCTTCACATGCCAGATCCTTCTAGGAGACTCTGCCTTCCTGCTACCCTGCTCAGACCCACTTTGGCTGTCTGAACCACATGGCCTTATCCCCTATTCTGTCCCCCACGCAGGAGGGACCCCTGGGCAGAGGGAACTGCATCTGGGAGGCTGAGGGGCCCCAGGTCTCTCCTGAGAGATGGTGGACTGGGAGACAGAGACTGATCAGATGTGGGGCCTGAGCTGAAAGGATGGGCAAAGCCTGGATAGAGCTATTTTCAGCCTTGTGGATACCGATAAAGAAGCAGAAAAAGATGGTCTGCAGAGAGGAGGATGGGACATGCAGAGAGAAGCAGAGAGGAGACCATGTGGCCCCAGAGAGGGAGAGACTGAGCAGTTTCTCTGCAATCTTGGAATCACCCCCCTAATTATTTACATCAGCCCTGGTGGGCTTCTGTCACTCAAACCAAACCTCCTCTGCACAGCTTCAACTATTTCATCAATAAGGTGGGCGGGGAGTGGGGGGAACATCCCTGCCCTGCTACACCTACTGGTAGAATAAAAAGACACAATAGTATAACAGTTTATAAACTGCAAAATGCTCTAAAGGCCAAAGGAATTATAATTGTTATTATTATCATTAATATTATTCATTAGAGTCTAACTGGTTGAAGAGGAAAGAGCACATGTGACTATAATTTAGGACACCTTAAAAAAAAACGAATCTTTCGGCCTGAGCAACACAGTGAAACCGTGTCTCTACCAAAGAAACAAAAATTAGCCGGGTGTGGTGGCGCACGGCTGTAGTCCCAGTTACTCGGGAGGCTGAGATGGGAGGATCCCTTGAGGCTGGGGGCGGAGGTTACAATGCGCTGAAATCCACTGCACTCCTGCCTGGGCAACACAGCAAGACCCTGTCTCAAAAAAAACCAAAAAAACAAAAACAAAAACAAAAAACGATAAAACAAACAAACAAAAAAATCCTTTTGAAAATCTGAACTCCACCCTTGCTAGGAAGAAGAAAAACAGGAAAAACAGCCTTGAGATATCATTTGTAATCTGCTAAAATAGCCAACCAAAAAAATAAAAAGAGCCAGTGTTGGCAAGGTAATGCTGGAAGTTATAGATGGAAGGGATATTGGTAGTATTATAAATCAGAGTAACTCTTTTGGAAGCAATTTGGCAATCTTTAGTAAGAGCCATAAAGACATTTATATTATACTCTTTGACCCAGTAACTTCACTCTTAAAATACAATATAAGCAAAAATCTCCATGCATGAAGAAGTTCACTGCAACATCATTTACATGGAAAATGTAGAAGCACTGTAAATGATCAACATTAAAGGAACAATTTAATACATTATCTCAATATGTAATACTAGTCAATTGATTACAATTCCAAAGGCTATGAATAAACGCAGAAAGCATGTTAAAGAAAGCCAAGGCCACGTGAGGTGGCTCACGCCTGCAATGCCAGCACTTTGGGAGGCCAAGGCAGGAGGATCACTTGAGCCCAGGAGTTCAAGACCAGACTGGGCAACATAGTGAGACCCCGTGTCTACAAAAAATTGAAAAAATCAGCCAGGTGTTGTGGCATGCACCTGTAGTCCCAGCTATTCAGGAGGCTGAGGTGGGAGGATCGCTTAAGCCCAGGAGTTCAAGGCTGCAGTGAGCTATGAATGTACCACTGCACTCTAGCCTGGGCAACAGAGTGAGACTCTGTCTCAGAAAAATTAAAAAAAGGAAGAAAGTCAAAGGCAGACCAGAGGTCCTGGGAGCAAGGCTAGGAACTGGGGTGCCCCTCAGGGCATTCTTTGGACAAATTTTCTTTCTTGGTGCCTCCTCAGACTATAAGAATGAGCATTTCCCTCACGTGTGTTCCCCCACAGAGCCAGCTCCTGTGCCTGCCGACTGGGAGGTTTCAGGGTAAGAAAGGCAAGTTCTGTCAAGGGTTTCGGGTCACCTTTGGGTGCACCATTCTGTTTCAGTAAATCCATTTCAAAAGCCCACTTGAGAAAAAGTTTATAATATGGGGAGAGTTTGAAATATTTTCCCATCTCCATTGTCATCCCCTTTGGTGGCTCCAAACCTTGAGTAAAGTCCAACACTCCCACACAGTCCTGTGAGATGGTGGAAGGGGGGAATGCGGGGAGGGGAGTGATGTATAGCGGGCCCGGAATACCCCAGTGTTCTTTCCTCAACAGCCCCTGCACGAGGGCGTTCAGGGATGAAGACTGGTCTGGAAGTGGCTGAGAGGGTGCAGGGGGAGCAAGCTGCTGAGTACATAACTCAGTAGTCACCAACAAAACACATTCTTTCTGTCCCCAAATGTACCGTAGAAAGGAGACCCTGAAATTGGGAGACTAATGCTTGGGCTAGACACCCACCTGTGACAGACACAGACACGTAGACACACGCACTTCTTTCTTTTTACCCAGAAGGGATACTATTACACACGTTCTCTTTCAACTTGCTCTTCTCACATAACAGATAGTGGGCATCTTTCCACACCACTCCATGAATATCTACCTTATCTTTTTAAGTGGCCAGAGAGGCATCTGTTGTGTGACCGTTCCATGATGAATTTAATCGACCTCTATTAATTGACATCTAAGTTCTGTTCACTTTTTTTTCATGATTACAATTCATTCTATGACAAACATGCTCGTAATACAAGTTTGTGCATTAGTGTGGATATTCTTGTAGGAAAATGGCTAGAAGTGTTTCATATTTTTTATAGTTACTGTAAAATTGTCCCCAAAAACTGTCCTAGTTTTTAACCCACAGAGTCTGAGACTGCTTCATTATGCCTCTAAAACTATACCTTTAAAAAGCTGGATTTTTACCCATCTGATAGGTCAAAAATGCCACCTGGTGTTTGGATTTGTGTTCCTTCCATTCTTAGAAATACCAAGGACAGCTGTGGTAGCTCACGTCTATAATCCTAGCACTTTAAGAAGCCTAGGCGGTAGCTAGGTGTGGTGGCTCACGCCTGTAATCCCAGCTACTCAGGAGGCTGAGGCAGCAGAAATCGCTGGAACCTGGGAGGTGGAGGTTGCAGTGAGCCGAGATTGTGCCACTGCACTCCAGCCTGGGCGACAGAGTGAGACTCCGTCTCAAAATAAGAAGCCTAGGCGGGAGGATTGCTTGAGCCCAGGAGTTCAAGACCAACCTGGGCAACATAGTGAGACTGCTATCTCTACAAAAATTAGCTGGATGTGGTGGCATGTGCCTGGAGTCCCCGGCACTGGGAAGGCTAAGGCAGGAAGATCACTTGAGCTCAGGAAGATGAGGCTGCAGTGAGCTATGATCACGCCACTACACTTCAGCGTGGGTGACAGAGTGAGACCTTGTCTCTAAAAAAAAAAAAAAAAGAAAAAAGAAAAAAGAAAAAAAGTACCAGGCATCTTTTCTTGTGTCTATTGGCTACCCTTGTTTGCACTTGAGTAGGAAGCTCTGAAGCTTTCAGACTCAAAGGGATGAGATGTTTGGGGGCAGAGGATTCTGTCTAGGGACGTCTCACACTGTATCTTGGTACATAAGCATTGACTGAGCAGAATAGTTGCCCCTGGCCATCAAGAAAGATCTTTGAAACAAAAAGTTGAGCCTCATTAACTCCGCTAACACCTCCCAGGGGCCTCCTATGCGCCAGTGGGGTGTGGTGTTGAACTTGCCCATGCCTGCTCTTGAGCAGCACTGAGTGGTGCAGGCAGACGGAGAGGCTGTGGGGGCACAGAGCTGTTCAGAAAGCTTGAACCCAGTTGTTAGGGGCACTGGGGTGGGAGGGTCTGGGAAAGCAGTGTTGGAAGACAGGATGTTGAACTAAGTTTGAAAAGACAGGTTGGGATGTTGGAAGGGGTGAGGAGGCAGAAAAATGCCCAGCGTGTGTGGGGTCAGGCGCAGCAGTAGGGAAACTGCACGGGGGTCAGCCTTGCACGGAGCAGGCTGGCTCGTGGCAGAGGAGGCCAGAGGTCATGTGTGTCATATCTCGTCACTGAGGCTCGAAGAAGCTCTGCTTGGGCCCAGAGTCTCAGAAAAAACTCTTTCCCAGGACACCCTAATTCCTGAGCAACCCAGTAACTGAGGTATCTCTGGGTTAAACCCATGCCCGGGTAAGGTAGAGTCACCTGGGGGGCTGTGGAGTGAGCCCCAGCCAAGGCTCCAATCTTACTTACTAGCTGGGTGACTTTGAACAAGCCAGTTAACCTGTCTTGAGGCTCAGGCTCCTCATCCAGAAAATAGCGACTGTACCTGTTAGAGGTGTGTGGGTTCAACTAAATTGGGTGCAGAGCTCTTGGAAGCGTGAAGCCTTCTAGATACACGAGCTGATGTGCTGGGGTGACAGCTCTGCCTAGGAGCCTAGGGGCTAAGCCCAGGGGATGGGGGGTGGGGATAGCTGTGTCTGTGCCCAGGCTCCAGCCCCTTGACTGGATTCAAGTCTCATGGAATGAAGGGCTACAGATGGAAACCAAGAGAGCTGTTTTCACCAAGAACTGTTGGATATAGTGTCTCAGGCAGGGCTTGGGGGAGTCAGATGAATAAATATCCCACAGAGAGGGAGAGAGGTGCCTTGCTTTATCCCCATTTGATACCAGCCACTTCCCTCCCTGGGTCCTGGTTTTCTCATCTGCACATTTACTTTATTATTTATTTATTTATTTATTTTGAGATGGAGTTTCGC